TGGGCCCACTGTGCTGACTCCCACATGCTTCCTCTTTTAAAAAGCAGTTAACTTGCAGCCCTGCCTAGCTTCAGTCGACAGACTATGTTACTACCTGTTATCTGCACGAGAAACACAGGCCCCCAAATGCCAATAATAAGAAGAGGGGGTCTACTGTGACCGACCTTACACAGATCAGATACCAGAACTCAGGGAGATGGGGATAATCTGTAAGAACAGGTTCCAATTAGAACGAGTCAGCGTGGGCCAAAGTGACCTAGAGTTGTCATGCACAATGGGGACTTGAAAGTCTGAGGTCATCCTGCTGTCAGTCAAAAGTCGAGAGGTGGGCCTGGGCCGGGCTCTCTGGAAACGTCCCTAGAACCCCCCAATAAAACCGGAGGACAGGAGAGCATGCTCTCTTTCTCCTCTCTGAGAGGACCTACTCTGTCCTTTGAGAGGGTCCCCTTTTCGCCTTTCCCATTTCTTTTAATGATGAGCGACACATCCGGGGTATTCCTGACTTGATGGCAAGGATCAGGGTTTGAAGGAGGGTCTTGGCATTGTCCCCAGCACCGTAACAGTTTCGTTTGCAGTCTTCCTCCACACAGGACAGCTCGTCACTGCTAACTCACCTGAGAGTGTCTCAAACTCTCTGATGGGGCTTCTCCATGTATCTGTGCTCAGGACTGAGAAACTGCCGTCAGTGGTCTGGCACACTCAACACTAAGCCAAAGAGAGACGGTCAGTTCTGCGCTTTGCAGGAACCACACAGGTGGCCAGCGGAGGAGAAGGTGGATTTGGAAGGACAAGCTGGAAGTCAAGGAGGTGAGTTAGAAGACAGCTGCCGCCCAAGTGGGCTCAAGGCTCTGGGAGTTGGGTGGAGAGATTGAGGCGACGTAGGTATTCAACTTGGATTTCAAACTAATGAAAAAAATCACCGTGAGTAATTTTAATATAACTTCACAGATAGAAAAGAATACGTCAAAAAAGGATAAATTACTGATTTATTTGGAAACAGTGAATGAGTGATGATATAGGCAATGTTATAGCACCACAATTGAGATGAAAGACAGAATAGTTTTGTTTCATACTTTTAACACTTTTGTTTCCTATTGTCATCAAGACCAATTATAATTATGCAAATTTTGACTATTTCTCTGTGCAAATACAAACAGGCAAATCAATTATCTACTGTCAAAGTAAATTTCCATTTACAGCAAAATAAATGGAAATTAAGTCGCCATTTTTAAGAAGTGTAGGGGGGAAATTTTCCCATTAATAGGTCTATAGAAAAAAACATATAAAAGGAACTTTTTAAATCCTGAAAGACATTAGGCTGTAATTGTGTGACTCACAAGTGCTAATCCACTTTCTGATGGATTCCGAACATCCTGGCTCCTAGTCAAAAGGCGCCATCAACTGTACTTTGTCTTGCAAGCTCAGTTTCCACTCAACTTCAATGCAGGGCATAAATTTGCCTTGTTATAAATTCCTGACATACAACAGAAGCAATTTTCATCATCGCTTTTTGTTCATAAAATCATTAATCGTCTAAAAATGATTTTGATTGAAATGACAGAAGCTTCTGATGCACAATGAGAACTTGTAATAAATTTTGATTGGGGACTTGATTGCCATTTCAGATACTGAGAAATAGTTTGATTTTAGTGAAAATGTGTTTGTGCAGAGCTGCTTCCACGTGATTGTTTCAGAACACAGAGTACTTGAAGTTTTGAACTTTCTGGGCTGTTTGTTTTTCGCTCCTATGGCAGCTGGGGGCAGGGGTTGCCAGGAATTGAAGCTAGGTCCTCTAGTATGCTAGGCAAGTGCGCTATCCCGAGCTACATCCTCAGATTAATTAATCTCTTGGTTTTATAAAACCCTAACCCATACTCCATCACAAGTGAAAACTGCTCAGGCTGGCCTCCAACCTGGGATCCTCTTGCCTTAGCCTCCTGATTAGCAGGGATTATAGGCTTGCACCCCTGTGTCAGGCATCCATGTGTATTTCTAACAGATAAGAACTCTTTTAAAGAATATTTGCAATGCTATTATCACACCTTCAAAAAAAAAAGTTAACTCCTTAGATTCACTCCTATGGTTTGGATCTGAGGTGTCCTCCAAATTAACCCAGGAATATTCAGAGTTGATTGGATTATGAGCCCTGGGACCTGATCAGTCCGTCCTAGTTTGAATGTGCTAACTGGGTGGTAACTGCAGGCAGTGGGGTGGGGCTGGAGGAGGGAGTCACTGGGGGCTGCCCTGGGAGGGTGCATCTTCTCTGCAGCCCCTTCCCCGCTCTGCTTCCTGCTGCAGGGAGAGAAGCAGTTTCCCCCTGCCAACCCCTCCTTCCCCATGTTCTGCCTCACCTTAGGCCTGGAGTAGTGGAGTCAGCTGACCATGGACTGAACCTCTGAAACTGTGAGCCAAAATAAACTGTTCCTCCTCTAAGTGGTTCTTGTTGTGTATTTTGGTCACAGTGATAGAATCCTGACTGACACAGTCCCCCCAAAGGCCCATGTTTGAAAGCTTATTCCTCACCCATGGCTCCATGGGAAGGCGGAGGGACCTTCAAGAGACAGAGTCTAGTGGGAAGTCTTCCAGGCATTGGGAGGTGTGGCTTGGAAGAGGAAATCGGACCCCCAGCCCCTTCCTCTTTCTCTGCTTTGAGCCCTGGCCATGAGGTGAGCAGCTTGGCTCCACCCCAGGCTTCTGCCATGGTGGGCTGCCAGGTCACAAAACCTAAAGCCCTGGGGTCGTGACTTCAGTCATGACCATGGACTGAAACCTCCAAAACTGTGGACCAAAATAAACCTTCCACTCTTTGTAAATTGGTCAACTCAGGTGTTTTGTTATAGGAATAGAAAGGTAACTAACACATTCGCCAGATGCCCAATTTATATGCAAAGTTCCCTTAAAATAGGATTTTAAGATGATAAATCATCAGTGAAACCAACATTAAATTGAAAACCACTGTAAGAGATTGACTTTCAGCACAAGGAACTCACAGACCCACTCCCCAGTGAAACCAATGAACAGCCAGCCATTTGAAGTATCAGAAAATGACCTTAGGGTACTCAGCAAACAAAGAAGTATCTGTGCAAGAAAATCTATTAAACTAGGATAAGAGTCTGTGGTATGTGAACCAAACACCAACCTTGAACTGCCCTCTCGCTCCCTGCTCCCAGCTCTGTGAGATGGAAACTCTGCTCCAGATTGGAACAACCAAAGACAAGAGGCCTCCTCTCCCCTCTCCCCAGGTCCCAGCCAGAGGACTTTCTTCCTGGGAGGGGCAGGACTTCAGCATTTCTCATACTGCTCCCAGTTCCCTGTTGCTGAGGCTAAGTCAAGGGCAGGGACTTAGGACTGGCCAAGAGGTAAGGACTCTCTTCTTCTTCGGCCCAGCCCCTACTCACTGAATGGAGACGCTGGGGCATGAGATCACAGAGGATACCATTATAAGGTCATGGTTCCATCCCAAGAGAGGACAGCTGAGAACTCCTGTTTCCTTTCCACCTAGCATCCCAATCCTAAAGCAGGACTGTTGCTCAGAGAAAAGCACAAATCTTAGCTCAGAAATTTTGCCTGGGGAAAGAAGCAATCTACAGAACAGAAAGGCCCTAATCTCTTCCCAAAGGAACTGACCGAAGACGACGGTAGAGGGCTTGGGAAGCCAAAGACAACAGAAGTGAGAACTTGAGGTGGATGGACAGGAAGCTTTGGTCTGAGGGGGTACTGCTGTTGGGGGTTGAAGGTAGACCCCAGTCATTAACAGAGATGGGGGATCAACCGCACATGGAGGAAGGCACCACCTTCCTTTATGCAGGAAAAGTCTAGGTGGCGTTTGTGGGTTTGAAGATGGAAAGCTGAAGAAACAGTGATTCCTCTTTTCTCTATGAAGTAGGTGGTAAGCCTCTTAATGAGAGGGAGGAGAAAGAGAGGACTGATTCTTATTAAGCACAGAGGAAATGGGAGCATGCTATGACTGAGAGATGAATAATATACGCACAGGGATTTGGACACATAAAGACCCTGGAGGTCGAAATGAAAGACTGGAATCCATGAATTCCAAGCAGTGCCCACCCATCAGCAGGGTAGTGGAAGCGCCTCACTCTGCTCAGCAGCCTTAGGATAAGAGAAAAGCCTGGCTGTGCGTGATCACCACCGGACCTACTGACCACTGACAGGGAGGGCTCTGCTTCCGGAGCTCAAGGTGCCCTTCCAGGTGGTGCTGGAGCCCCGCCAAGCTCTCCAGTTTGGTTTCCCTTTGTAAAAGGAGCGCAGTGCGCTCAGGGGCCTGACTTATCTGGATAGTCACCAAATATGAGGATGACGGTTCCACCAACCCCACACACCTCCACCACCATGTATCCCCGCTCAGCAGGCTCCCTACTTCCCTCTCCACCTCCAACCCAGTCTAGCTGTGGGGGTTTCTTCTCCAATCCCCTCTCCCCTCTCCAGCTCCTTTGGTGAACTGGATTCTCCCTGTAGTTCTACGAGGACATGAGGCACCAGGATCCAAATCCACGTGTCTGGTGGTCCTACCAAAGGGAGGCCAGCAGGTGCTTCCCCGGCTGCCTTTCAATCGCCTCTGGCATCAAGAAGCCTGGAGCCAGAGCCAGGGTCTCCCCGCGCGCAGTGCGCAGCCAAAACACAGGAGGCAACGTGTCCCTTCACCCCAACTGCCCACGGCACAAGGCTCTCCAGCTCTTGTCCAGGAGGGGGAAGAGCCCTGTGTGACCCCGCTAGGTGGGTCCACGGTGAGGGGGGTGTCAGTTGTCCATCTCCCGGAGGCAGAGGGCAGCCCTGGAGGGGAGCGCGCGACTCAGCGCCGGTGGCGACATTCCAGCCTCCCGGGACCAGCACCGTATCCCAGTCCCCAAGAGTGCGGCGACCTCCTCCGGCGGCCTGGCTGGGGAACAGGGGAGCTTCGGGGCGGGGAGGCGAGGCGGCCGCACCAGGTGGGCAGGGCGGGGAGAGGCGGGGCGGTCGCCTCCGCGAGTCCGGCCCGGCCCCCCCCGGCCTCTCCGCTGGGCACCGGACAGCGGCAGGCCGGAGCGCGGAGGGCCGAGGACTCGCGCCCACCAGGCGGGGCTGCATGAGGCCCCCGCGCGGCCAGTCCTTCTGGCTGCTGCTCCTGCTCGCAGCCGCCTGCGCGGGGATCCTCCTCGTCCTGTACTCCTCGCCGGTGGAGCGGTTCCCGGGGTCCCAGTCCCGAGCCAGGTAGGGCTGCCGGTGACCCACGGGCGCAGGGGCGAGCAGGGAGCGGGAGGGCGCCCCGCACAGGGCTCTCCGGCCGCGCGCAGCCTTCAACCGGTCCTCCGCGTGTACCCCGCGGGGTGGCTCACGGCGGGGGCTCCGCCTCGTCCCTTTGTCCCCAGAGCCTCCATCCAGAGCTAACCTCGCGCTGCCTCGACCCCGCGGCCTCTGCCGGGGTCTGAAAGTCACGGACGACCGTTCCTGCACTCTGGGTTGATTCCCTCTGTGCCCGATTTAAAACACTTTTTATCGTCTAAATTTGGCTGAAACACCCGAGTCTGAGAAAGAGTTTCTTGGGTGTAGGCAACTCTCCGAAACGTCACCCATTTTCAGACTCCACTTTTGAGGCTGGAACCCAGGTCTCCTGGCTTCCACCTTTGCCGGGATCCTCAGGCAGGTCGACTGTTGGTTCTGGTCTCTGCTGGCACCGGGCGCCCCTCCCTCCCGGCCAGGCTGCGCGGCTGTTTATTTCTGGATAAGCCGCACCTGGACTCCCCCGGGAACAAGGGCCGCTTCTGGGTGCATCTGAATCCCCACCTGCGCCTCCTCCTGCGCGGGTCCCCCTCCTGCTTGCCCAGGCACCTTTCATTTCATTTGCGCCCCACGAGGAGAAACCTGAGAGTCTGCCATTAGCAGGACCGGGTTCCAGTTACTAGAGAAGTCTCTAAAGGATTTAGCTTTACTTCTGGTGGGCAGACCAAGCCGCAGTGGAGTCTGGGTTTGGGAGGCCAAAGAGCACCGGAGCTTCACCTAGAGGCCTTGGCAGGCTTTCCGTTCCAGTGCATCGGCACTCCTCAGCACACCTTGCTGCAGGCACAGTGAGATGGAAACAAAATATCTGCTTCCAGGGGACAAGGTCAAAGGACACATCCAAGTTCCAAATAATATGAAGCACTTTTGCGAATTATTACGAGTCCACCCCTCTTAGATGGAAGGGAGCTCTAGTGGGACCTGAGGTCACTAACATCCTTTAAAAGCACCCAATATATCTTTAAATACGAGTTTTATTGTATCTCCATTATGCTTCAATAAAGCCCCTTTTAAATTTTTTTGTTTTAAGATTATTCTCCTTGCCAAGCACTGCCGTTCAGGCTTGTAATCCCAAGGCTCCAGAGGCTGAGGCAGGAGGATCACAATTTTGAGGCCAGCCTGGGCAACTTAGTGACACGCTGTCTTAAAATAAAAATAAAAAGGGCTGGTGGCAAAGCTCCACTGAGTCCAACCCCCAGCACTGCCAACACACACACACACACACACACACACACACACACACACACACACACACACACGTTCTTCTCAAAATCTAAAATCTAGTATGACTCAAAAACCTGCCCATTCTTTGCTTCTTGGTGATGGATGTGTTGTAACAAATCCCAGGGACTGGTCAGGACTCATTCTCATGGAGGTGGTGGATATTTTAGCCCAAGGGGGAAGCGGCGTGGGAGGGGGACAGCCAGTGAGCTGTGTGACCTTCTGCAACTAGGACTGCGGAGAGGGGGGGGGACACGACTTTCCTGGCTACAGGGGACAGTTCAGGAAGATTGACTGGGACAGGGTCTCTGGAATGAAGGAGGGAGCTCTGAGTGCATCTTGAGAGGAATGCAGCTGGGAAGAATCTAGTTCAGTGGTTCCCAGGCATGAGGATTTCTAGGCCTGTTTATATATATATATATATATATTTTATGAAGGAGGGGGTGAGGATCTACATAGGATTTCCAGTTACCATCTATTGTCAACATTATTTTGCAAAAGAAAGGACATTTTAGGGCCCCCGATTAGTAACAATATGATCTAGGTGAGTAAATTTAGTTTTTGGAAAAACAGGCTACAATGAGCCGGGTGCAGTGGCACATACCTGTAATCCCTTCTCAGCTGAGAAGGCTGAGGCAGGAGGATTGCAAGTTCAAAGCCAGCCTCAGCAATTTAGCCAGCCCTATCTCAAAATAAAAACAAAAAGGACTTGGGGTGTGGTTCAGTGGTTAAGCACCCCGGGTTTCAACCTCTGGTAGAAAACAACAACAACAACAATAACAAAAAACCCATTGACCTTATTTCTCTTTCAGCTGGTAAAACTTCTCAGAGGGGCATGAGTGGCTCATCCCCTTTCCCTTTCCCTTCCAGGCAGCCCAGGCAGGCAGCTGGAAGCACTTGGATTCCTGAGGGGGAGGAGTAGAACAGAGGCTGGGAGAATTCAGGGCAGCAAAACTGAATGGAGGTGGGGGGATCCCCATGTTCACCAATACCCCCATCCTAGCACCTCTCTCCCACCTGTCTCAAGTCTGCCCTGTTCAGCAGTATCTCCATCTGGTTCTCAAAACTGGAGGCACATTAGAGTCACCTGGAATGTGGGTGCAATCAATCAGATCAGAATTTGGGGACTGGGCTCCCTAGGCAACCCGGGTTGAGCACTGTATCCTGGCCCTTTCTCAAAGGGGTCACCCTGTTCACGTGGCTGAACAGGGGACCAGTTCCAGGGGGAAAAGGGACAGTAGAGGGAGGAATCATCTCTACTTTTTCTGAGCTGTCACTGGAGGGTCTTTCAGGAAACCTGGGAAACCAAAGGGAGGCAGATCCCAGATTCCAGAGTGGTCGGCTGTCTCAGCACCTACAAGAGGTTTTTCGATTTTCCCCTTGCACACTGCCAATCCCAAGTCCTCTGCCACCTGCTCTTTTCTGGTTGCTGGGGGCGGGGGTGGCATGACCACCCTTTTGAATGGGCTTATGGTGGACCCTATTCCTTCCTTCCAGTTTTCCCTCTGCCCTGCTATTGGGGCCACCTCATGCCTGGGAATTGGGAGTAACATCAGCTCCTTTCCTCCCTCCAGAAGGGACACTAAGAGAGAGGCTGGCACAAGGTCCTTTAGGTAACAATGGCTGGTATTTAGAAGGCATTTTTCATATGGGCCCAACAGTCAGATGAGCTCAACGTGATCGTCCTTGTTGCACAGATATGAAGACAGGTTCCAAGACGTTCAGTAACTGCCTGAGGCTGCAAGTGGTAGAGCAGGATACAACCTGGGGGGTCAGGCTTCTGAGTCCGGCACTTCACCAGGACAGTGCTACAGAAGGTTGAAGGGATCCCATCATCTTAGACCTACTGCCCGCCTCCCAGGCTTTGGCAGGGGACCCCTCAGATGGTCCCAATTCCAGAGACAATCTTTCCTATTTTATATTTTCGTACTTTAACCACCATCTCACTGTTCCTATAGACCCCACATTTTTGCCGTTCACTGAGGGACCTAATTTCTGGGTTTATGTAGCTAGGCAGAACACAATCAAGTGACAGTATTTTGTGTGCCTAAAGAGGGAGATATGAGCAAGCATGAGAGTGTGGGAGAAGGGTGAAAAGAATATACTTTTTGGGCCCTGACACTCTGTCAGGAATCCATCTGGAAGCTTTCAAGGGGTAGGTCAGATCTGATGCCACGGCTGACCTGGGCCTCTGCTTTACTTCTGCCCTCTCCCACAGGAACATCTCGCCTCACCAAGCATTCTTCCAATCCAAGGCAAGGCGTTCTGGGAACACAAAGGTACAGTGATCACCTCCCCGGAGCACTTTTAAGCATTCTCAGGTTCTCAGGGAGGAGGGGAAAGAAGAACAAACTAGAACATTCTCAGGAGATTCCTGGGCCTGGCCCTCTGGCTCTCCACCAGCACAAAGCTGAGCATCCACCCACTGGGGTGTCTGTAACCTAACCAGTAGGGTGTCCTGTACCCCAGCAACAGAAAAGGGTGAATAAATAAGCACGCTTGGGGTGTATCCAGATGAAAAGTTCTTAGGAATCATAAAATGTCACCATAAAACTTCAGGTGGATTTTACACTGATCCTGGAAATACCTACTGACTTTAAGTCACATTTAAACTATTCACCATGGAGTCGACTCCAAGCTCTGAGAAGATGTTCATGCTTGGTAGAGGATCTGAGAACTTAGAGGGCCCTGCTCCACAGTCCTAAGTAATGGCCACCATGGACCACAGGTTCCCATGTGCTGCTTGGCCCGTTACCTGCCTCCTCTGACTTAAACCTCTCGGTCACCCTGGAAGGTAACTCTCCCAGGTGAGCAAACTGTGGCACAGAGAAGTTAAGTGGCTTGCTCAGGATCCCTCAGGGGGCAAGAGGTGGTACTGAGACCGAGTCCAGATCTGACCCCAGAAGCTGGCCCTGTTCCACCCTGCCACCCAGGGCTGGTTGTGGCAGTTGAGCTGGGAGGTTTCTATCTGTGAGGTTCTCAGTGGTAGAGTGCCCACCTAGCATGAGTGAGGCACTGTAAAGTTGTTTTTCAGTGCCCGGGAGACTGATTGAGGTCACACGGAAAGAGACTTCCCTGCATACAAGAGGTAAGTGACAGCCAAGATGTTCAGAGACAGAGCAAGTGGTCCTGGGCAGCTGATTGGGAGGGGGGCATTAAGAACAGAGGCCAACGGCCATGTGACCATCAGGTGAAGAGAGACCCTACATATTGTATGAGTACTTGAACTAGGTTGTCTTTAAATTTTCCAAAGTCCTTTCTACCTGGAATTACATGATGCTAATTAACACATGTCCCCACCTGGTTTAAAACAAAGGATTTGAGGAGGTTTCTGAATACATATAACAAGGTGTTCCAGAAAAAAATGGGTCGGTCCTACTGTTTGAGGACCCCAAAGGGCCATGAAACCAAAAAGAGGCAGACAGATCCAGGATTCCACAGAATGCAGTTTATCAGGGTGTGGTCCTGTGCAGCAGCAAGACCTGCATATGACCCTGAAATTTGGGTCCAGAAAGACAAGAATATTTCTGGGTTAGACCAAAAGTGACTTTATCCAGCTGGAACGGATCTGGTTTATCTTGAGATAATTTCAAATAGTCAAGTGTATCCCTGGAGCCAGGGTCCACGTTATAAAGCTCCACATACAATTCCAGTGTTATTATCTACTTAGGGTCTGCTGGGAAATTCTGCAGGAAAAACTAGGGTTATTCAGGGGCAATAATGGCAGTTCCATCCCAAGATGGCTGCAGTCATGGCAAGCTGAATCCATGCCCGACACAAAAACAAAATCGAATAAAATGAGGAGAAGCCCAAAGGAAAAGTAAATGTAGAAAAATAAGGCAATGCTACAAGGTGGGAGAGACGGGCCAGGTACCTGGCTCTGAGCTTTCTGGTGGCCAGAGCTAAGAAGACCTTGCCACCACGTCCGTGGGGTAAAAGTGAGCCAGCTACCCAAGGGAACCCAGGCTTTGCTGATGTAGAGACCTGAAGACTCTCCTCTGGGGCTGTAGAGAGGGCCCCTGTGAAACAAAGGGTGGCACACCCCTGCAATCCCAGGAGCTTGGAAGGCTGAGGCAACAGGATTATAAATTTGAGTTCAAACTGGGCAACTTTGTGAGACCTTGTCTCAAAAAAGCAGAGATGTGGTGAGGCTGGTGTAGCTCATGGTAGAGCACCCCTGGGTTTGACCCCCAGTGCCACAAAAAAGAGAAGTCCCCAAAACACCTTTATGACAAATTAAATTGTGAAATTATTATAGTCAGTTCTGCTATAATGCTTCTTTGAAAATGTGAAGTTGTGCCAACAAGATGGATATGTTAGCTATTGTGGTAATGCACTCGTAGAATCCCAGGGACTTGGGAGGCTGAAGTAGGGGGAATGCCGGTTCCAGGCCAGCCTCAGCAATTTAGCAAATCCCTAATGAGATCCTGTCTCCAAAAAAAAAAAAAAAGAAAGAAAGAAAGAAAGAAAGAATGCTGAGGATGTGGTTCAATGGTAAAGTACTGCTGGGTTCAATACCTGGTACCAAAAAAAAAGAAAGGATTGGATTGCATATAGACAACAACTTGAGCATCACACAAATTTTGCATTTGCTTATGAGTAACTTTGCCAGTGAGAACACTAAGTGAAGTAGAACTGAACACCCAACTGAACCAGGCCACACAAAGACACACAAAAAGTGCACCCACACTCACCCTTGAGCTATCTGTCAGCTTCCTGTCATGTGTTATGGGCTGACCCCACACACGGTATTACAACTTCCCTTCCAATTTCAGATAACCTTCCCCTCCATTTCACACCCACAAGCTGCTACCCTTCGGACACCACTTCCACAAGCAAACCTCAAGTCTGTTTCAAGGAAAAGTGCCATTTTGGGTTCGTAGTTATGTGTCACTCAACAATGCAGGCTCCTGTGTTTCTCGGGTCCCTGTCTTTGGTTTCATGTCACTGGCGTGTCCGAGTGTTGGGCCGCTCACTCCACCTCCCCAAGCACTGTGGTTCAGTTGCACAGTTTCGTAAGACGCGGTTCAGCCTTCACGAGTTGCTGCTCTGCGGTAGCAGTGGGGTGACAGCGCAGCTACCTCTTGCCATCCTCCCATCAGGGAGCCCCATTAACGCAGCCCGGCCCGGCCACAGCTCCTGGATCCCAATGCTGTGGACAGGCATCCACACTCTCCCTTAGAGGTGTTCATTTCCTGTCACTGCTGGGGACAAATGACAACAGACTGGGTGGCTTCAAACAACAGAAACTGATTCTCCAAGAGGTCTGGAGGCCAGAAATCCAAATCAAAGCCTTGGCAGGGCCATGCCACCCCGAAGGCTCTAAGGCAAGCTCCCGGGCTCTCCCCCTCTGGTGGTCCGGAGCTGCACCTTCCACCCGCCTGTCGTGACATGTTGTTCACGCGTCTTCACAGGCCTCCTTACGAGGAGGCTCACTGTTGGATTCGGAGCCCAACAAATCACATATTGGCCTCAGTTTTGTTTTTGTTTTGTTTTTTTGCGGGGGTGGGGATGGTCCTGGGGATTGAACTCTGGGCCTAAAGCACGTTAGGCAAATGCTCTACCCCTGAACAACATCCCCAGCCCTGGATGGCCTCATCTTCAATGACACCTTTGATTACCTAGTTCCAAATAAGGGCACATATTAAGGTTCTAGATGGACATGAACTATGGGGGGGGTGTAAATGAGTGGAATATAAACTCCAATGGGAAGAAAGGTAATTTCAAATCTTCCCTTTCACACAAGAGTCCTACAGGGAGTCCTGCCAGAGACAGGATTTGGACCAGGCTGATGGATTCCAAAGCCGGGGCCCAACTCCTCCACTGAAGGGGCAGGTCATACTGTCAGGGCACTGGAAAGTGCCCAGTGTTTGCCCAGGTCTGAGGCGAAGGAGTGGGAGGCCAGACCCGGCAGAGCATGGAGATGTGGTGTCTGGGAGAGGAAGGGGTGGCAGGCTAAATCCAGGATTTTCTCTGACCCTCACCAGGCGGCTGATTAGAGGCCATTTCAATGAGCAGATCCGGGTGGCCCCAGTCTGGAAAGGAAGGGCGCTCATCCCTGCCGCTCTCCTGGAGGCCACCCACCCACCCAGGCCCCTTCCTCGTGGGGCTCAGCCTTCTCATCTTGTCACCCACAGAGCCGGCCCTGCCCACATCCGCTTGACCTGGCCATTCTGAGGCACCAACGCTTCCGGAAACTGTTTGATCTCTCCACTCCAGTGCTGCTGTGGGGGGGCCTCTTCACCCCAGAGCTCTGGGACGACCTGAGTCAGCAGAAGGGCCCCTATGGCTGGCGGGGACTCTCACACCAAAGTACCTGCTACCCCCTGCCTCTTCCCTGCCGCCCCTTCTTCCTCCTGCTGGCCCTGGGGTGGGCCAGGCCCCACTCTCTCGGTGATCTGAGTTCTCCCCTGAGACCCCCAGCTGTGTGACACGGACCTCAGCTCCTTCCTTCATCCAAGCACCCAGGGCTCAGCAGAGGGCTGGGGTGCCCCGCCTGGCAGTCCTCGCCACCCTGGGCTCTCCCTGGCAGGAAGTATTCGGGTCCAACAGAGGTTGAGGACAGAGGCCAAAGGGGCCCCATCAGCCCACTCATGGCTGCTGCTCAGAAACCACTTCCCTCAGGCCCGGAGCCCCTCCATATGAGAGCTGCCCCCAGTCCACTTCAGATTCACTTGTTCGGACGCACACAGCCTCGAGAGGATGGGTTATTCACGTTCTTGAGGCCACTGAAGGCCCCCTTCCCTTCACCCTTCTCTTAGTTCTCTCCCTCACTGACCCCCCCATTCTCTGCCCACCCTTTGTGCCTCTGGGGAGGGGCTGGGGTCAGGCCTCTGGGGAGCAAGGACAGGAAAGGCCCCCATGACTCCATGGCTCCCCCTTGTCTTCATGCACAGCCATCGCCTCTACCCTGAGCCTTCTGAACAGCTCAGAGAATGAAAGACTGTTTGCCGCCTCGGGGGGCCCCTCCCCAGACTGCATTCGCTGTGCCGTGGTGGGGAATGGAGGCATTCTGAACGGGTCCCGGCAGGGTCTGCAAATTGATGCCCACGACTACGTGTTCAGGTATGAGGGCAGGGGCCTGGAAGGGCTGGCACAGCAGAGCTGGGTGGAGAGCCAAGGCAGCACCCCCCGAGGCAGCTCAGCAGTGATGATGGGTAGACAGCACAGACTCCACAGACCTGAAGACAGAGCGTGGGTACGCGGTCCAGGAGGACCTGGGAGCGAGGAGCCACCAGGCCAGTGTGCCCGCTCCCAGGACCCCTGCACACAGGGGTTGCCCTGGGCAAAGGGAGTGTCCACACAGAAGTAGGGGGAGAGGACAGGCGAGGCAGAGCTGGAAGGAAAGCAGATAGCATGGTGTGACCACGATGACACTGATGTCCTCCATTCTGGCCAGACTCAATGGAGCAGTGATCAAAGGCTTTGAGCAAGATGTGGGCACCAAGACTTCCTTCTATGGTTTCACTGTGAACACCATGAAGAACTCCCTCATCTCCTACCAGAACCTGGGCTTCACTTCTGTGCCGCAAGGACAGGTGAGGCCTCTGATGGCCATGCCATGAGATGAACAGTGGGTGCCATGTTCCTGGGCCTGTTGGTGGGATGGGACTAAGGACTTTCAGACCCCAGTCCAGTGGCTGGAGAGGTAGTGCCAGGATCTTGGCTGCCCAAGGTGTAGCCATTAAAGGTCAAGGCAGATCTGGTCAGAGACTCCTGTTCTTTTAGGTAGCTGGCTCAGACTAATATTTACTGAAGGCTGATGATGTGCCAGGCAGTTGACAGATACCACATCAACTTTTACACTGCCTCACTTTACTGGTGAGAAAATTGAGACTTGGTTTCCTTTCGTTCAGCAAGTGGGCAGTAGGCCAGAATTCAAATCCAGACTGCCCACCCCAGAACTCATATCTTCTGGGGGGATCACCACGTCATGGCGTGGTCCAATAGAAGAGTATCTACTGAACACCTCTTTGGCGCCCAGGACATAGACACAGACATCATTGCAGCCTCAAGTGGGATCATCATACCTATTTCCAAATGGCAAAACTCAGACTCTGAGTTTCAGGAACATGTCCACTGTCACCCAGCTAGAATTATCAAAACACAGGCCTCTTGGACTACAGGACTAGGATTGTTTCCACGTCCCCAGAGGACCCACCAAAAGAATGACAAGGTGACCTCTCAAATTCTCACAACAGCTCTGTGTAGGAAACCGAGGTTCAAAGAGACCAAGAAACATGCCCCAGATCTCAGGTCACAGCTAAGTGACAGCATCCAGATTGTCTCAGCCACACTCAGGTGTCCTGACTTTGTGTGTCCTGCCTCAGACAATCTGGGTGCCACATGCAGATCCCAGGAAAGAGGTTCTGTATTGCAGAAGCCAGTCACTGGGTGAAGGGCAACAGGGAAATCCCAAGAACTCAACAATCCTCAGACACTGAATACGACTCAGAGTTGAGGAACTGCGTTGATGCCCTGCTGGACACCCACGTGACCCTGTTGGTCTCCTGCTGGCTCTAGGGGCAGTTTCTCTGAAACTGGTTTCCAGAACCTTCTCTGACTAAAGCATTCAGGAGGGTCCTACCCATACTATGTATGCACTGAATTCCCCTAATAGAACCTTTCATTGCTAATAACAGAAAAAATGGGGCAGATTTCTGGTATGGCCATAATACCTGCATCAGTTATTTATTGCTGTATGATGAATGACACCAACACCTTAAACAACATTTATCATCTCACTGTTTCAATGGGTGGGGAATCTGAGAGTGGCTTATTAGAGCGGTTCTGGTTCAGTCTTTCAGGCAAAGGGTTGTTGTCATCTTATGGCTTGACTGGGGCTGGAGTCAGGATGGTTCTTCCCTCAAAGGTCCTTGAGACCTGCACCCCTCTATAAGCCACTCAAGAGTTCCCATGACCTAGCAGCTAATTTCACTCAGGGTGTCATCTAAAAGAGAGCAAGGAGCCCCAGCACCTTTATGACCTAGTCTTCAACGTCACATTGTATCATATTCCACTTCCCATTTAACAGAAAAATTCTGTGCACTAGTCCCTAAGTCCAGCCCTACTCCAGGGAGCTGGGTGCAGAGGTGCACACCCACAATCCCAGCTACTTGGGAGGCTGAGGCAGGAGGACAGCAAATTTGAGGCAGCCTGAGCAACACAGACTGTCTCAAAATAAAATCTAACAAGAGCTGGGAGTATAGCTCAGTGGTATTGCAAAAAAAATAAAAATAAAATGGTGTTTGGGGACAACAATTGGTCTTACCCTTCTAGGGAAGGGTATCAAAGACCTGAACCTACACTGAAACAACCACAGCACCTCAGAGTAAGAAGAAAGGCCTGTTAGGAAACTCCTCCGTCAGCTCTGATGGCGAGACTGTGTGGAGGGCAGTTCACTCCAAGCAGAAGCTGAATGTGGCCTTATCCCTGTTGCCCTAATAGGACCTGCGTTATATCTTCATCCCCTCAAGCATCCGTGACTACCTGATGCTGAGATCAGCCATCCTGGGTGTGCCTGTCCCAGAGGGCCCTGACAAAGGGGACAGGTGAGCATCCACACGGTAGTGGGATGAGGCTGTGGTCCAGGGGGCGGGTCATGCTGAGTGGTCACTCCATGTTTCTGGGGCCACAGTGGAGCCGGTCACTGGGTGAAGGGCAACAGGGTAATCCCAAGAACTCAACAATCCTCAGACATTGAATGTGATTCAGTGCTGAGGAACTGTGCTGACTACCTGCAGGACACCCAGGTGACCCTATTGGTCTCCTACTGGCTCCAGGGGCAGTTTCTCTGAATGGAGAGAGCAGGCCTGGCTCCTTGCTTCAGGCCATGGTCTCTATCACCAGTCCAGCTGTCAGCTGCTCAAGGCCACAGGCCACAGTGGCAGAGGCCTTTCCTCAGCTGGTTCTGATGACCCGTTGAGAACACTCTTCTGAAGACTAGGTAGGGGCCATCCTGGTGGGTGGGCACCCTCCCTAGAAGCCCAGAGCACAGGCTCCTCAGGCAATGTCCAGACAGGTGACAAGCCGGGACACACTGTCTTCCCTCTCCCACCTTCCAAGGCAGTGGGCTGCGCCCAGCTCTTGTGGACCGTGTCCTGGCCTGGGTCAACACCTGCTCCCGGCACTGCCCAGTGTCTTCTCCCTAAAATCAGTTGCTTAGAAACCTGTGCTACCACTGAGACATGAGCAGTCCCCTCTCACAGTGCCCTCTGGACATTTCACCCACTCCCCAAAGAGCACATTTTGAGGGGCCTTTCTGGGTCAAATCACAAGGGCCAGTCTGGCATCTGTCGGGGTCCTGTGTCCAGGCCCTCCCCCACCCCCTTGTGTTACCCAACAATTGCTTCCTCTGTTGCTATTGGCCACCAGGATGGGCTCTGTGACACCAACGGGACTGGGCTCTTTGGGGGGGCTGCCCCAGGGACATCAGGTGGACATAAGCCTCCCCAACACCAATGAGCTCCCCCTCCCACACCCCCAATCCATCCCCAACCCAATCCCCCTCCCAGTCCCGCTCCAACCACATTGTCCTCCCTTCCAGCCAGCAGCCCTACCCCAGCCCGGCAGGCTCACTCCCTCCTGCCTCCCCCACCCGGGGGTCTTCCTCCCGCCCACCCTCTCACCCGGCCACCCCAAACACCTCTCAGCCCTCTTCCCGGACTTCCTCCCTGACCCCGAGTCCTCACATCCAGCATGTGGTCCGGACTCCCCCGGCCTCCAAATCCCCGTCCCTGTCTGGCTTTAAGTCCCTCTCTAGAAACCCTTCCCTGACCCCCTCGGTGCCGCTGGGCAAGTCCCCCTACCAGAGCCCGGTCCCCTCGTCCTCCTACATCGGGCCCTCGGCCCCGAGCATCCCGTCCTGCATCGCTCCCTACGTGCCCCGCTTCCTCAACGAGGCCCCCTTCTTCCAGCCGCCGACCTCGCAGCTCCCCCAAAACCAGTGCTTCCCCTGCACCTTTCCCTGCACCAAGACCCGGGAGCCCCCGCCCATGCCCGACTCCTTCTACCTGCCGCTGCTGCCGCCGCCCCCGCTCCCGCCGCAGAACACCTGCACCTACCCGACGCCGCCCTCGCTCTTCATCCCGCCCAGCTCGCTCTCCTACTCCCCGCCCACCGAGGTGCTGCTGAGAGGGAAGCCGCACGTGGTGCCCACGGTGCTGCCCGCCACCTTCTACACCCCCTTCTCGCGCTACTACTCGCAGCCCCGGCCCTACTACCGCTCCCAGCGCCGGAACCTCAGCTCCACCTTCTTCCCCTCGCTCTCCCCCTTGCCCTTCGACGGTTCCGGGCGCTCTGTCCACTTCTACCGTGGGTCCTAGGCCTCACACCTATTTTGGACCGGAAGCCTCTGCCAGTAAATTCAAACTACTGCACCCAGAATTCATCAGCTACCTGACAAAGAGGTACGGGGATGGGGTGACGGGCGCAACACCAGCTCCATTTCCTCGCCCACACCTACCACGGGTGAGGGGTCCACGCAGTCGGTGCTCCCCAACTCCCCCGCAGAGTGCTGAGGGCCCCGCAGAGCCAAGCACTTTGCCATGGCATCGAGTCCTTAGCTTGCTACCTTGATGGAGCAGTCAGTCGACGGGCAATGGCAGAAAACTCAGGATAAGCCCAGGAAGTTGATTTCCCAGGGACCCTCACACAAAGGCACAGGCCCCGTACCAAGGAGCCAGCTGTGCAGAGGTAGGGGGTATTAGAAACAGTGTCATCACTTCTAGCCCCAAACCCAGCCAGCTGAAAGCCACCACTGGAGGAATCTGGGGAAGAAAGGGCCTGATCTCCTTCTCTCCCTCTCTCCTCCCAGTGGTTCTCAACAGAGGGTGGGGTAGGGTGAGTACTTGGTCCTGTCTGAAGACATTTTTGTCTATCACAGGAGGGGGGTCAGGTGAGTGCCATTAGTGGGTAGAGGCCAGGGCCGCTGCTGAACAGGAGGTGCACAGAATGGCCTCTGCAACAAGAACTACCCAGCCAGGCAGGCTGGTGCACTGCCTGTGATCCCAGTGTCTCCCAAGGCTGAGGGAGGGTGAAGCAGGATTGCAAGCTCAGTGAGACTTAGCAACTTCTCAAAATAAAATAAAAGTCTGGGTGCTGGTAGCTCAGTGATTAAGCACCCCTAGGTTCAATTCCAAGTACCCAGAGCAGGAGGTGGTGGGACTATGCCATAAATGTCAATGGTGCCATAGTTGAGAAACCCTGAAGTAGCCCAGAGGCAAGCATCCCAGGACAGAGTGGAGAAGGGTAGCCAAGTGTATCTAGGGAGCCCCACAGAAACCACAGCAGTTATATGCCCATCCTGCAGGTCATATGAGTGTGGGCACCACCACACCAGTGAGTCCAGACCCAGGATCTGAGCTCCCACCTCACTCATTCCTGAGTGATCAAGATGTGGGGTAGAGAAAGGACTCAGACTAAATGAATAGGCTGCTTATGCCCTAGGCTTTGTGGTTACCTAACAATAGGAGTGGAAATAAGGTGTTGCCAGTGGAGAAAGGCGGAAAGATCCTACCTGGGTTTCCTTTCTCATCTTCCCAACTCCTGCCATGAGATCCTTGAATTTTGGAATTTACTTGGCTTTTTCCCCAAATGGGGAACTGATTGGGTAGAAGGACCATATGTTGTTTGAATGGGTAGCTGTGCAGTATAGTTAGTGGTACAATCTGAAGCTAAGAGACAACAGTTGAATGTTTCTCCGGGTTTAATACCTTTTTGTTTGCAGGTTTTTGAAATCAAAATTGATTAACACAACCTTTGGAGACCTATATATGCCCAGTACTGGGGCCCTCATGCTGCTGACAGCTTTGCATACTTGTGATCAGGTAAGGAACCTGAGGCCACAGAGCAGAGATTTGAACAGAACTCAGTATTGACTCCCAATAGTCCTTCCCTGAGACCTGGCCACCTAGATAGGGACTCCAGGCCGTCATCCCACAGTGAAAGGATTCCCCAGTGCAGGAGTGGCACTATCAACCTGCTTGCACACCTGCTCCCCAGGGTCCTCCCCAGGAAGGGCCTGAGCCAGCTTTGCCTTGAACCGTGCAGCCACCTGCCCCAGCACTTCTTTCACACTAAATCATGCTGCTCTTCTGAAAGCAGAATCTTCTCAACCAGAAGTCCTCTTGTGGGGACATGCTGGAACTGACATGGGACAGGTGAGCAGGTTCAGTGTCCCACACATAAACATACTGAAGTCACGGAGTAAATGTTCATGATGAGATGTCGTTCATGTGAACTGCAGAGGCTGAGCATTTTCGAGACCCTAGTAAAGCCAGTACAAAGGCTAGAGGCCAAACTCCACTCTGGTCCCACATATTTTCCCTGTTTTAATATAGAAGTCTCTTGATTGCAGTCACTATTAATTCCTGAATCAGCCTGAACTTGAAGATCACAGCTTTAGTCACACCAAAGTTTCAAACCCAGTTTTGCCTTGAGTGAGTGGAGGGAGACATGTCTCCACTTCCTTGCTTGTTCAGGGGGATAACTTATCTTGAGGTCTTAATGCTGGGGTTAGAATGTGTAAGGAAAAAAATGCCCCTGTGAGCTGTATTTACCTGCATCTGCACCTATGCACCCGTGTGGGCACGGAGCAGACCTTTCTGAGTTCATACACCTCCAAGCATCAACAAATACTAACTCAATAATGGTTTTATCCAGGTCAGTGCCTATGGATTCATCACAAAGAACTACCAGAAATATTCTGACCACTATTTCGAACGAGTAAAGAAGCCACTGATATTCTATGCAAACCATGATCTGCCCCTCGAAGCCGTTCTGTGGAGAGACCTACATAAGGCTGGCATCCTTTGGCTGTACCAGCGCTGACCCCAAAGCACAAAGCCTTCTGCTTCTTGCAGGGCTGTGACCCTGGTACCCACAAGTGGCCAAAAGCCCTCCCCCCTTTTTTTCACCTTTGAGAAGGGGGTTCACTCCCCCTGATCCTCTACTTCCCAACAGAAGATACTGAGGTGAACTCGTGACTGTTACTAAAAGGAGGGCACCCTATCTTACCATCTAAAGGAAAACCCTCTGGGTCTTAGACATCCCAGTTTGGTTAAAGGAAAGCAGACTGCTTTGCTGGATTTATTTCAAAATTGAAGACAACATTCCCAACATCAGTGACCCTTACCAGCAAGAGGCAGGCACACCTTGGAGCTAAGCAAGAGCCAACAGACTTAGATCAATGATGCCATTCAGGATCCATCAGTAACCAAGATCAAGCCAGACAAGCAGGCAAACACACAATCCCAGCCCCAACTCTCCCCTAATGGCATGTCATCCCCAAATACCAAAGTCACTCAACTGAGGACATCTCAAGCACCTGAGACCATGATTTTTCTGTCCCCTGATAAAGTGTAAGAGCAAAAGGCAAAAGTAAAACTCAAGACTAGGTTAACTGCATAAATGACCATTTTGTCTTGTGCTGGGGGTTGGCAGAGAAAGTACAGAAGATGCTGGTGTCCAGCACGAAGTTTACCAGAGTCCAAGAACAGGAGATACTGGTGTTTGATGGGAGTCAACTGCATAGAAGCCTGCCTGCCACCGCTACCAACGCTGAGGATCTTGTCACCAACAGGATGACACTACTGGTGATGAAACCTCATCCTCACATCATGGCTTCAATAAATTTGAACCTATCTAGCTCATAGGCAGTTTCATAATTTTATGGGATTTTAAGTGATTTTAAGTCTCACCCAATAGCCCCAAACCAAGCCCTGATACTGGACACAAACTAGTGGCTTTAGATCAGTAGGCTGCGCTACACATGGAGCAAGAGCTGTTGCCAGCAAATGCTGGCAAATTCCCAAGGTAGCCACTGCCTACACTGGCCAATCCACCAAGGCCAGGTTTCTATGGTTTTGGGAGCTTGATTTTATTCTCTAAAGAGGGATAAAGAACTCAGTCACCACACACCACACACAATAGCATTCAGTAATGCAGACATCTGATCAACACAATTGACAGGTGGGCTTTAGTTACAAGGCAGCTACCACTACTCGGAGCCCAGGACTTAGACTAGAGGGAAATATTTCAGTTACTGGCATCAGAACAAAGCCTCCTGGTTGGCCTTACCTCCAGGAGAGTGGTATGATCCTTTGACAGAATACTTGGTTTGGAAGGAAGTCAAACGGGGGAATATATAAGGTACCCTGACAGTCACAATCCATTCTGGTGTCTTACAGTGACCTAGTGATGATCACTACCACTAATCTGATTAGCTTGGTAACCTAGCACTGCCCTGACACCCAAGATTATAGTACTTTCCCCGTGCCCACTGACCCTCTAGATGCCAGTAGTACCTTTATCAGTGCTTTATTAGATTTAAGGTAAAAGAAAGCAATGTTTGTAGGTAGCAATACATGCAGTATATCATCACTTTAGCAGGTACAAATATAGAAAAAAAAAGATCAAATTCTTATTCTGTGAAACTCCTAAGAATGTTCTCTTGAATCATAGAACAAATAATGTTCTTACTTTGTGTCTCAATCTGAAATCCACATTGCTAGTGAATAAAAAATACAACAAAACAGAACCTTTAATTGTGCTTCAAAAGTTTAAATAAAACAATGACTTCACAGGAAATCCACTGAGAAATGCTTTTTGAGGAAAAGCATTGTTTCCCTTAGCTTCCTACAACAATGTATGCACATTAACAATTTCAGTTTGCAACCACCGAAGTCCCATCTATACATGAGACTATACTCAGACCACCTAAACTGAAGTTCAGATATTTTTAGTTATACCCCAACTTCACTAGCTGCTAAAAGTGGTGATGGTCATGATCTCAGTCACTCAAATTCCTTGGCTATTTTTGAGGATGAAATCCAAAAAAATTCTTATGATTCTAGTTGGGTGGGATTAACTCAGGCATTAGCAGAAGCAGGGCTGTGTAGATCCCGTCTGGCACCACCGGGAGATGACCTGTAAAACAGAACAATTTCCAGTAATCAGCCAACTAAGTGCGTCACAACCAAACATTAAAAGCAAAAGGCAAACAGTCTAAGAGGATTTGTTCTAGCCATTATGTATTGGGCATATGTATACTGGGGGAGCAGGCTGGTGAGATTCTAAAGGACTCATTTTAAGGAGCCAGTATCTAAAGAGGGTGGCCAAAAAAGACTCCCACTAAACAGCAGGGATATTTGCATCCAACTCCCTCTGAATCTCAAGGTTTACCCAGGTTGGCTGAGCCCCCTGGAAGCAGATGATAACAATGTGGATCTTCCCACCTGCTGACCCACTCCTTCACTTTGCTTTACTTGGCAGGCGGTAAGCAGCTGGGGCCAGTTTTCAGGCTTGTTAAATCTCACCCCAATCAAGACTGCTCTGGTAACTAAACAAAAATGTGACCTTAAAGATCAGCTCTCTAGTTTCAACAGAAGAGAAAATCTGGGTCCACTTCAAGCCTGGCATTTAAAAGGAAACAAAGAATCACCCCCACAGTTCCACTTTGCTTTCTTCTTGCTCATATGCCAACCTCTGCTGCCCAAGCAGTGGCCCAGTGCCAGCCATGCCATCCAGACAGAATCTCAGCTACAGGAAGAAGGGCTCCCTGGTGGTGTTAACAAAGCACAGGAAACCAACAGTTCTGCCAGGGCCATGGCACTCTTCTTTCCTAAATGTCAGGACACTGCTACAGAGGCAAGATCAGTAATTAAGCATTCTCACTGCCACAAGCTGGCATATATTTTACATTCCAGTTTCAGTTTCAAAGGGCACATTCATTTCCTTGAAATATGTGGTAGGCACTCTTCTCCTTCACAGTAAGTCCTTGCCCATTTCTGTAGTCTCACAGAGCCTGTGCCTTCAGAGCTATCACTGAAAGGGACAGACATTAACAGGGCAACTAGACCTTTAGTCTGAACATCTGATCTGTAGACTGGAGTCTCAGCAGGGCACACACAACACCCTGCACTGTCCACTTGATTTGATCCTTGTAAAGCCTGAACTACTACTGGAACATGGAGCCACACCTTAAGCCTCAGAATAGATTATTTTCCCTCAATTGAGATTTTCAGACAGGGATAACTAACCATCATAGGCTTGTGAGGCTTCTTAGGAACACATAAGATAAACAATTTACAAACAGGAGAAGAACTGTTTTACTTGCCTTCTGGTAAAGCAGTTTACAGTTAGTAACCTCGCTGAGTAGACACCTAGCAATGAAAACAAAAATATGTTAAAGACTCCCTGCTACTTAGCACCTTCCCAAGTCCAAGGCAGGGGAGACAAAAAGAGCTAACCCTTCACCCAAGCATGTGCAGCAGGACTTCTCTGCTTACATGAGAGATTCCACTTGAGGTTCAGGTCCATGGTACCTGCCACAGTGTGGCTGCTAGAGGGTCCTTTTCCAACTGAAGCAGAGACTGCACCTGGTGAGGAAGAGAAATTGGAAAAAATGAAAAAAGAAGAAAAAGAAAACTACTGAAGATATAAACAGTACCTCTAAAGTAGTTCTCTTTAAAAAATCATGAACTTCTCATAAAGCAAACTTGCAAAGCTGAGTTTCAGATATCCACATTCCACACAGAAAGGCCTTTCCTTGCCTTCAGACAGGGATAACTTGACATCATCATGAACTCAGCTCACCAATCTGCTAGCCCACAGTACTGCCCACCAGAGCACACGTCAATGATTTCTTATTAAAGTCGTGCTTTACTTCCCTCATGAGAACTATCCATCAATTTTGTCCATTTTATTAGAGTATGCTTTCCTTCCATGGCAAAAATTTTTAGTATTTGGTGTCTGGATGCAGCCAGTGTCCCAGACCTGGCTCAATGACAACTCCTAGCCTTATAAAAAGACTTAAGCAGAGTGCTTCACAGCTGAACAAGAGGCAACATTCAATTGTCTCTCTAGGACATCAGTAAAATGCTTAGTTGGTGCAGATCACTCATCCTTTCAACTAGCCTATTGAGGACCAGTTGCATAAACAGCACCTACTGCCATGAGATACTACACAAGGTCATTTCTCCTTCATCCATCTGCATGTACAAAACTATCCTGCAGAGCAAACATGTGGCTTTCAGTTTTTTAAGATGGAGGATTAGACATCTGCCCCACAAGCTACTTAAAAATAGCCATCACTATAATCTTGCTGTAATAAAATCCTTGAGCTCAAAGCAGATCAAAGCATCTAACTGTTCCTACACACCTGCTCTGGGACTGGCTACATATGACTCTTGGGACACCCTCTAGAGTCATTCTCATCCATGGCTGATGATGGGCCCAGAAATGTGTACATTCTAACACTATGTAGGTGGTTTTGACATACAACCAGGTTTGAAAACCATTAACCCCGTTTTAAAAGAAGCGCCATAGTGCTTTTATTGGTATCAAGCCAAGACTGGAGCCCAGACCTCTAGTTAATCTTAATCTAACAGTTTCTCAATCTTAACTCTACTGACATTTCAGGTGGAAGTTCTTATAGGTGCTGTCTATGCTTTGTAGGATAGTTAGCAGCATCCACCAGACACCTGGTGTACCCTCCATCCTCAGTTGAGAGTTAAAGGTACAACTAACTCAAAAAATAGTTATGGGGCTGGGGTTTTAGCTCAGTGGTAGAGCGCTTGCTAGCACGTGTGAGACACTGGGTTCAATTCTCAGCACCACATATAAATAAATGAAATGGTTTTTAACTTTGGACAGAACTCCCTAAGCCTGTTTATTTACTCAGCAGCAGATTGTGTTATGGAGGGGTCTACCTCATACAGGTTGTTAATACAAATACCATTTCTGAGAATTTTAGGCAAAGAAAAAAATTAATAATAATAATCAACATCAAGCAGAAAGAATTTCATACTATTTCCCTTGACTGGGCAACTACAATCCTGGAAGACTCCTACATCCCCAAATCCAAAAGACCAGTAAGTACTTAAAGGGGACCATAACCTGTGCAATTCTATCAGAGCTAAAATCTTACCATTTACAGAAATTTCATCACAAAAATTCTTAAGGTCAATATTTTAAGATGATGGGTTTCACAAGTCCACAGCCAATACCATGGATCTAAAAGAGAAATAAGGATGTCATAGTTCATTCTAACAGAAACTACCTTCAGGCATTTATTTTCAAAAAGCTGAGCCTCAGTTAAGTCAGAACTCTTCACAAAAGATGTCACTTCAGCCAGCGATAACTTATGTCCTCCTCAGCTCAACCAGTAACAGATTCCTAAATCCCAGCAACCAAAACTTATTTTCCAAGTCTGTTTCATCCCCATACACAATGCCATCCATGTTGCCTTCAAACAGTGACACCTAGTGGCCTCATATTACAGTGGCACAGACCCTCCCCATTTCTACTGTAAAGGGACTTTAATCACCCTGTACTCACAGTTCAACTTAACTTCGAACAACTTATGAGGTGGATGTGCCGGGACATCACGCCATCTCTGCTTTCTGGTGATCACCCCCAGGTCCTGCTTGCATCCATCTTTTCTCATTTTGCGGTTCCGTTACTTTTAAACTGCAACCTGCAGCTCTGCTTCTCATCTCCCCAGAAGCTAGAGAAAGGCTTTCAGAAACGGAAACAAAAGTTTCGTTATCAAAACTACATTTCCAGCCAGGCGCGATGGCGCACAACCCTAATCCCAGCGAAGGAGGCGGGTGGGGCGGTGTTAAGGCAGTAGGATGGCAAATTCGGGTCAGTTTCTGCGACTTGGCAAGATCCCGTCTCAAAATTTTAAAACGAGTGAATAAAAAGAAGCTAGAATAATGTAGCTCAATAGTAAATCCCTCTGGGTTCAATCCCTGGTATTGGTAAGAAAAAAATAGTATTACCAGACTTCCAAAGTCTACAATCCCTTTCACTACCATCAGTAAATAAAAACGACTGCCTGGGTGTTCCCAAGGCTCTCGGGCCAAGGGTGCATTCCCGCGCTCACACTCCCGAGGCCGAATGCTGCAGCGCCACGCGCCTAGCCTGCCCCCGGGCCTAACCTGTCCACAGGTGGACAGCGAGCCCGACAGGCCCAGGGCCCCGGGCGCGCGTGCTCAGCACGAAGGTGGACGCACGGGGTCGCGCAAACTGCAAGGACCTCCCTCTCCCAGGAGGAACCCTGCGACGCCAAAAACGGGGTTCAGCTCTCTTCTTTCCCAATTTCTCGCCGTTTGGGAGGCATTTCCTCGTACAGAACCTCAACCCTACCACCACTCTGTGAGAGGGAGGCCGGGCTGACGGTCTCCACTTCGCCTCTCAGTGCTACCCCCGAGTTGAAGAAAGCCCCGTTTTCCCACCTCCGCAACCTTACCATCACCCAAGGCCTGTAAGGCTGCTCAGAGGTGCTGCACCCCACCGTGGCCCCATGCTTCCCAGACATGCGGCCGATCGCGGAAAGAACGCGAGACCGCGCCTGCGCGCAACTCTCCCCGGCGGTCTGCCCGGAGCTCTCGCGAGATTAAGGGAGGCGGATGGGAAATGTCGTTCTCGCGTCGCCGACCGAGCCGCGGTAAGACGGAGGCCGCCACGAGGGGCAGCAGAGGGCGCGGGCTGGGAAGCCTGGTCCCTGGCGGGCCCCGCGGTCGGGTGGCAAAGATGGAGGTTGCTGAGCTGTGCTGTGCGCTAGCGGTCCCGGGCCGAGGCCGGGGAGGCGCCGCAAGTTCGAGGGCAGGACCGAGAAGGACGACGAGGCCCGGCCGCATTGCATTTCTCCTGGCGCCGCGGACTGTGTCGTGGGGCGGAGGGGGCGCGTTTAGGGTGGTCCGTGGGGCGAGGCCTGGCGCGGGGGATGGCCTGGACTCCGCGAGGGGAGACGGAAAGCCTCAGATTACTATGAAAAGGGCACAACGTCGTAACACCCTCTGGTCTGGTGTCCTTTTCAGTCAAGCACCCTGGGTTTTTCTAAATTTTGGAACAGGGGCTTGCTAAGTTGTCCAGGCTGCCCTCGAACTAGCGATCCTTCTGCCTCAGCCTCCTGAGTCGGGGCCCTCTGCGCCTGGCACGCGGTTTCATGTTTGACTAGGGCAGACGGAGCCCTGGAGTTAGGGCCAGAATTTATGCCTATTTGGAAATGAGTTGGAATTTGCAAGACCCCAGAAATCTTTATGCATTTTCCTCATCCCGTTCTTATGGACCTGTTAGCAATCATCTCTATAGCATTTAGCCTTGACTATTTTGTTCTGTAGGTGGTAATTTTCAAATTACAGTATGTATTTGTCTACCTCTGTTATTTGATTCTAAGTTCTTAAAGGGAGGGAGAAGTATCTTTTAATTTTTTTTTAATTTTTTTTTCAGGCGGTGGGGGTGGGCAGCGGTACTGCGAATTGAACCCAGGGGTGCTTTACCACTGAGCTACATCCCTAGTCATCATCTTCATCATTCTCTTTCTCCTCTTTCACATCCTCCTCCTCCTTCTAGTTGTTTGAGACAATGTCTAAGTTGCTGAGCCTCTCCTTAAATTGCTGAGGCTGGCCTGGAACTTGCAATCTTCCCATCTCAGCCTCCCAAATTGCTGAAATTACAGGTGTGTGTTACCTCGCCTGGCTAATCTTTTTTTTTTTTTTCTTTTTTAATTTCCTCATAATACTGAATATAGTGTTCAGTTGCTCTTGCTCATACTAACAAACAATGATTTTTAACTCATCCTGCAGAAATTTTGGCCTTTTGGTTTCTCCATCTTACCCTTGAAGACAAATTATTTTGTTTATTACTGAAAGGAAGAATGTGTTCTCTCCCTGCAAACTAAGTTCCTTTCATGTGAAACTTGCAGGGAGAATCGTTTTTTGCCAAAAGCTGCTTGTGAAACTAGTGGTCAAGTGATCTGCCTCAGGCAATAATGGTAGTTGTTTTTTTTTTTAAAGAGAGAGAATTTTTAATATTTATTGTTTAGTTTTCGGCAGACACACATCTTTTATTTGTATGTGGTGCTGAGGATCGAACCCAGCCCCGCGCTCATGCCAGGCAGGCATGCACACTACCACTTGAGCCACATCCCTAGCCCCAATACTGGTAGTTTTGAAACTTCATAGTGTTTACTGGATGCATTCACTACATCAAGGTCTTTATGTATACTAACTCATTTAATCCTTACAGTTGCACTGTGAAATACTTCTCACTATCCTGTTGTACAGATGAGGAAACAGAAGCATGAGGTAACTTGCCCAAAATTCACACTACTAACTGGAAGAGTCAAGAGTCCCAGCTGTGGGGCTGAGGATATGGCTCAAGCGGTAGCGCGCTCGCCTAGCATGCATGCGGTCCGGGTTTGATCCTCAGCACTACATACCAACAAAGATGTTGTGTCCGCCAACTAAAAAATAAATATTAAAAAAATTCTCTCTCTCCTCTCTCACTCTCTCTTTAAAAAAAAAAAAAAAAAAGTCCCAGCTATTCTGCACCATGAATGTGTTGATCTAACATATAAGAACTTTTCATTTGGGAGCCAAAGGGAAGAGAAGAAAAATTTGTTTGTGTTTGCAGGAATGGTTGGGGGACAAATCAAAATGTTGAAAAGAGGATGCTGGACACCTGCTTTATTGTTTTGAGCCACTTGGTGGCACAAAGTGTGAGAATGAGAATCCACAGGAACTAGTTGTGAAAGACAGAGGCTCTGGGCTCTGGCAGGGCTGTCTTTGTCCCCAGGCTAGTTGCCACTCAGTATGCAGTGAGGACTGGTCTTGAAAGCACTTCACTCTGCCAAAGGTCAATGTGTAGCTTTCACACCTGAGAGGGCGCAGCTTCTCCTGCAGAGCACAGTTGTGCTTAGTGGAACAGCAGCAGGCTCAAAACCAAATGGCACAGACAGTAACTAAGAGGCTGGAGCAAAATACAAGAGCCCTGGTGCCTGAGCGTGTGTGAGGCACAACTTTATAGGCAGTGCGGGAATAACTGGGGAAACTTCAAAGACAGCATCAGAATCCCTGAATGAGCAGCCAAGGGCAGAGCTGCTGAGACTGGAGTGTTAATGCTACTGTGATCTCATTTGCACTCTTTGCTGGTGAGATCTGGTACATTTGAGTTTTATAGTCAGTGGAATTGTTATATAGCCATTATACCAGACTAGGGTAGATCTATATTTATTGGCATGGAAAGAGATGCAGTCTGGTGACAAGTGACAGAAGTAGATCAAGTAGACACGCTGAACAGGGCAGGAGTCCCCAGTGCTGTTGAAGCTCTGAACGCAAAGGGAAAATCTAGTCAGCTGGCCTGCTGTGCTATGGTGACACTGATGGGATTTAAGATGAGGTATCGGAAACCCACAGTAATAAAAAACAGAGTCTTTACAACATCAAGATTGACTTCTTAATCAGGAAAGGAATCTTTAATTTTATGAATAAGAACATCAAGGAGGATAGGTGGAATCCCAAACAGATGGCTGCTTACACTTGGAGCAGTTGCACTGGCAATTTCATAGGAAGTACACCTGGACACGGGCACTATCAGGAGCCGTCTGGAAGCTGTTCTTCCTCCATCAATTGCAGTGCAATTCTGGTCAAGTTGGGAAAGTATTGCTTTTAAAAACAGTAGCTTCTCTTCTGGCTTTGGGACATAGTAAAGATGTGATGCTGAGTATTTCTGCAGACATCTTGCATCCATGAGGCTTCTTCAAAGTAAGAGTCAAAGGCCTGTGAAGGCAGAATGGAAAGATGCCATTGAACTGCTGAAATAGACAGTCCTTAAACCCCTGACCTTCAGATCTCCTGTTTTGATTCAGAGACACATTTTTACATTTTAATACTTCTGAATGTAGGATGTGTCTTCTGAGCAATTACATCTTAGATTTGGTGAAATTCAGAATGTGAGATTTTAAAAGAAAATTTTGTTTAAGTCATTTTAAGTTGGGTATCTGTTAGAGTCAAAATCATCCTAAATGATATTGATATTTCCCATATCTTCTTTATATATACAATGATAGTTCCCTGGAAGAGTGTATCATGACAAAATACATAAAACAATTTGACATGTGCAAGTTGCCGTCCTGAAGCAGCAATAGCTCACATACGTGAGGTGTTTACTCTGTGCCAGGGATGCGTGGCACCTTTCATATGCTGTCTTATTTGAGTCTCGCACAGCCTGTCACTACCCCCTCACCACTTTGCAGCTGAGGAAGCCAAAGTGCAAAACGGTTAAAGGAATTTTTAAGTGAAAGCATTGAGATCTGAACACAATCTGACCAAAAGCTGATGGTCTCAATCACTACTATGGTTTGCAAGCTGAATATCCCCCAAAGGCCCATATGTTAAGGCTGGGTCCTGAGGTGGCTCTGTTGGGAGGTGGTGGGACCTTAGGATGTGGGACCTTGTGGGAGGTCCTGAAGTCCCTGGGGGCCTGCTCATGAAAGCAATTGTGGGACCCAAGCCTCTTCCCCTTTCTCTTTGCTTCGTGGCTCAAGCAGTTTGCTTCACCTTGCACCTCCATAAGGTGCTGCATTAATTAAGTTTTGCCTGTCCCTAGAATTCCAAAGCAAAGGGTGCTCCTGATCTTGGACTAGATCTTCCAGAGCCACATACCAAAATAAAATTGTGTGTGTGTGTGTGTGTGTGTGTGTGTGTGTGGCTGGGGTTTGAACCCAGGACCTTGTAAATGAGAGGTCAGTGCCCTACCACTGAACTACTTCCAGCTGCTTTTCTCTTATAAGTTAACTATCTCAAGTATTTTGTTATAGTAAAGCTGACTAACAACCACCAGGCTATGTTTCCTAAAAAAAATTATGCTATGACAATGGAATTTTTTTGCCTAACTGCAGTGATTTCAATTTATCCACTTAGAAAGCCCATCATAAAAACAGAGGATTTTTTTCCCAAGAACCATGAAATATTGCCACAAATCCTGCTCAGCAAAAATCCTGTAACATTGAATGTAGCTTTAAGTTTCTGGAGGAAGAGAAATATAACAACATGTGCCCCATTTATTGAGAATAGACAACCTTGGATTTGTGGATTATTTCTTTGTGTTCATGAACAGTTCAGAAAGAAAAGTAGTTCATTTCACCTGCCTGCTCTGCACAGCCATTGCCTTTAATAAATGTGTTACTTTAAAAATGGATTTAAAAAAATAAAAATAAATTTGAAGAATTTATTCTTAATTATTAATATTATTATTATTCTCCGGATCTCATGTGCTGTTCTCTGGACATGTCTCTCCATTCCCGGAAACCTCTGCCTTTTCACAACTTTTGCATAACCTTTGCTGATGGTGAAGTTTGTTCCCTTCACCTTGAAATGCCTTTCCCCTCATCCTCTTCTCTGTGTGGTAGATTCCAACTCAGACTTCAATTCCTCCTCTGCATAGTCGTGGCTGCGATGCTGCAGCAATCCCCAAGCTGCTTCCTCGTGGTGATACCTTTCTTGTCACAGGTGGTTGAGTACAGACTCTGCAATCAGGCCAACCTGGAGGAAAGTCCCAGCTCGATAATTCTAGCTGAGTGGCCTTGGACACATTATTTTATCTGTCTCTAAGTCTCTTTTCTCCCATATAATGTGACGGGGATGATCATCCGAACCTTAAGGCTGTTTTAAGACTGCATCCAGAGCACTGGCACAGGCCTGCACAAGGTGAGGCAGCTCACCTTGAACAGGGCAGTTCCTGTTGGGGTGTACTTCCTCTAACACTGACCCTGCCATTGATGATTGTTTGTTTTCATGTCTGGCATTTCTACTAGACCGTAGGCAAGACAAGAATCTGGTCTTCATTCTTGTTTTGTGTTTAACTAAGTCATCTTTATTGAGGCATAACGTACACATAATGAAATGCATCTGTTCAAAGTGTACGTTAAAGTCCAATAAGCATGCATCCATGTAACCACAGCTGCAATCAAGATTTAGAGCATATTTGCCACCCTTTTACAGCCCTGGCCTGAGTCAGCCAGTGCTCTGCATTCTGTCACTATCAATTAGTTCTGCCTGTCTTAGAATTCCATAAATACAATCATATGAGAGGCATTCTTCTGCGTCTGGCTTCTCAATTTACCCATGTTGTTGCTTACATCCGTCGTTCATTTCCTTATTATTGCTGATATTAGTCCATTCTATTAACATACCTCAATTTATCCACTCCATGTTGGAGGGTATTTGGGTTGTTTCCAGCCTGTAGCTACTATTAATAAACTTGATGTGAACATTTTTGTAAAATTTGTTTGTGGATGTGAGTTTTCATTCCTCTTGGGTTACTTTATTTATTTATTTATTTATTTTTTTTTTTTTTTTTTTTTTTTAAAGAGAGAGTGAGAGAGAGGGACAGAGAGAGAGAGAGAGAGAATTTTAACATTTATTTATTTTTTCTTAGTTCTCGGCGGACACAACATCTTTGTTGGTATATGGTGCTGCTGAGGATTGAACCCGGGCCGCACGCATGCTAGGCGAGCGCGCTACCGCTTGAGCCACATCCCCAGCCCCTTGGGTTACTTTATAAGAAACCGCCACACTGTTTCCCCCAGGATATTGTAAGATTACAGTTGCTCCGCATCTTGGCCTGTGGTCAGCCTTCAATTGTGCTTTTTTTTTTTTTTAATATCTATTTTTTAGTTCTCGGTGGACACAACATCTTTGTTGGTATGTGGTGCTGAGGATTGAACCCGGCCGCACGCATACCAGGCAAGCACGACCGCTTGAGCCACATTCCCAGCCCTCAATTGTGCTTTTGATTTGCATTCTCTTAATGATTTAGATGCTGATCTTATGTTTATTGATCTTGGTTTATTGGCCAATATTTTATAATGTAGTGGCCATTAAAACCTTCCCCTTTCCCATTTAAAAAAATTGTGTCATTATTATCAAATTGTAAAAGTTCTTTATATATTCTGGATGCAAGTCTGTTTGCAAATATTTGTTTGGCATATATTTTCTCACAGTCTTTCCAAGAGCAGAAGTTTAATTTTTATAAAGTCCAACTAATTGGTTTTTCTTTTATGGTTAGTGCTTTCTGTATCCTATTGAAAAGACCTTTCTTTCTTCTTTGGATCACCTTTCTTGCTTCTGTTTTTGGATTCCATTGATGTATGCATATGTCCTTATGAATATCACACATCTTGACCTCTGATCTAGCCTGTCCCCTACTTGAGTTTCCTGTCCCAGAGCCATAGTCAGGAAATTCTCTGAGCAGGGGCTAATGTGCGTGTGGGTTCACTGTCTGGTGCTGCCTGTTGTCACATGTCTGTTTCTTATATTTTGCCCAGTTTTCTGGCTGTTTGTGGCAGGAGGTCTTGATTCATCTTCTTATCTAAGTTCCTGGCACACAGGCACTCCATATTCGTCACATGAGCAAGTCTGCACTTCCAGATGCTGTCCATTATTATTGCTCTCTATGGGGAGAATCTGTGGGGCCCCCGTCAGCTGTTCCATCCCCTTCATTTGACTGCATGGTTCCCTTCCTGAGGTGGCCATCAGTCCTCTGCCTCTCAGCACCAGCCCGCCTGGGTTCAACACAAGTCACATGAGCAGGAGGACCGAAATAGCAGAACAAGGCGACCTAGGCTGGGATGTCTCTGGTCCAAGTGGCAGAGCAGGGACTGCCTCTTTCATTCCTTTGATACCCCCATTTCATGACACTCTGACCATGCTTTGTAAATAAGCTGTCAAATGGATACATTTAGTTTAATGATTATTTCATATAGCTCCTCCTTCTGGATATTCTGATATTAAGTGTGTGGTTCACACAAGGGCAGGACTGGCACCTCCTGCCAGCTCATAGGCTCAGAGTCTCAGGAAATCTTCTTTTGTTTTGTTTTGTCTAGTCTTTTTCTTTTTAAGAGAGAGAGGGAGAATTTCAATATTTATTTTTCAGGTTTTGGCGGACACAACATCTTTGTTTGTATGTGGTGCTGAGGATGGAACCCGGGCCGCACGCATGCCAGGCACGCATACCCAGCCCCCACCCTCTAGTCTTAATCCCCACCAGAGGGAACATGTGTCTCATAGAGGGTCTGGGGTCCTTAGGTACAAAGACTTGTTTCCAGTTTGTCTCTGGTGAGGACACCTCCTCTATCTCTGTGCCTCACACCCTCTGCCCCAAACACAAATCCAAACAACCTTCCTCCTCAAGCTCCCTCCTCTCCAGCTGGCCTGTGACTTCAGTGCTGTCCTCTTCCCAGGTCCTGCCCCTGGCTGAAGGAGGCAACAGAGTGGCAGTCACTGTGAGTGATGGTGGTTATCTGTCATCCCTGCCAGGGGCCACTGCCTCCTCCTGGAAGGGCACCTGGAGGCCAGCTCTCTTTGCTCCTCTCAGCTGGCAAGCAAGGCCTAGCTTTGCAGGACCCAAATCTGATCTGCCCTTGACTGCTGTGCCTCTGAAGAAGGCAGTGGGAATAATCTGGCAGCACCAGCAAGCTTGCCCAGGTGCGGCCAGGAAAGCCCATGGCTCCAACCCGTGTGCCCTTGTAGGTCAGACAGGAATTTCCTCACAGCCTGGCTCCAGACTCAGGTCCTCCTTGCCCCAAGCTTTGGCATCAGATTCCCCAGGCTTCAATGCTAGCTATAAGTGACCTTGAACAAGTTCTGTGAACTTCATTTTCCTTTTTGGGTAAATGAGGACAGCAGCAGTTTCTGCCTCATAAATGAGACAGTGCTTGTAAACAAAGCACTCGGCACAGTGCCTAGTATGTACATAATAAGTGTTTGAAACTTGTTAGCCATTATTAATAGTATTATTAGTGTCGTTACCATTATATTAATGTCAGCCTCAGTGTAAGCCACTTTGCCATTCTCCCTGTTTTGTGGCTCACAAAGAGGCATTACTTTCCTCTAATTCAGGGATTTAAGCTTTTTCCTAACAGTGAGGCCCCTGCAGAGGCCCTGGGTCCCTGTAGGACCAATGGGGTTCACTGCTCTTATACCACCATGCCTGTGACAAATTGGGCACCAGGCCTTCCCCATCTGGTCCTGGGCCAGGACCCCTGCTGCATGCCCTTCTCAGGGCTGTTCTGCTCACACAGACATACATCACCATTTGGGATGGGTGGGTAGTCCTCCAAAGTCACATCTGTACCCCAGGTGACACCAGGTAACAGCTGCTGCTGCAGCCTACTTCCTTGTTCCTCCATGCCACCTCATTAGTTCTCTGGTCATGTTCCAATCTCCAGAGAGACTGGCAGCAACTCTGAATGTCAGCCATAGAAGTAGCAGACAACAGCACCTCCCTGCTCCTGCTCTGGCTGCTGCCCTTGGCCACCCTGCAGCTCAGAGCAGCCTTTCCCTGTCACTCAGGCTCTCACCAGCAGAGAGATTAGCATTCAGATGAGCAAGGAAAAGCATCAGGGCAACCAGCTCCTGTCTTCCTCAGAATCTGAGATTTATTTGGGAAGCAGAGCCCCAGAGAGGTTGAGACAGTTCTGGATGCACAGAGGACAAGGTGGTCCTCTCTGGTCCAGGCTTACTAGGTGCTCCACCCTCCCCTCCTCTATTTCATTTCGAACTTGCCCATTGCCCAGTACTGCGTATGTGGAGAGACAGGGAAGGAAGAGCCATGGGGTGAGGAGGGGAGGAACCCGGACTGCTCTGAATCTACCATGTGTGGTGGTTTACAATTCACAACCACACTAGCTTATGTACATGGAACACAAGTGTGCTAAGCACTTCACACACATTGTCTAACTAACCCTCACAATAACTCTCAGAGGCAGGTACTACTATCTTTATCTTATAGATGAGGAAACTGAGGCACAGAGTCCTGCTGTAACCTTCCCCGAGGCCACAGAGGGAGGAAGAGCATCAGAGTCAAGGTTCAGAACCAGGGGCTCAGATCTGGACTTCTTGCTCCCAGATCTTTTCTTATTACTTGGTCAGGGCCAGCACCTGGCTCTTCACCTCAGCTGTCTCTCGTTGCTTGGAGCTCCCTCTCTAAACATTCCTACTCCCATTTCCAAGCAGAGGCTCTTTTCAAGGGAATGGGACTTGGCCTCTGTGGGGACAGCATCATGGTCAGGATTTAAGAGGTCCAGCCTCAACCCAAGCTTCACACTCAGCCTAGGATGGGAGCCAGTTGTATGAGGAGCAGTGCCTGGTCCCGGGAGCCTCCTGTAGAGGAGTCCTAGGCTGAGGGAGGCAACTTTCTGCAGCAGGAGCTGCAAATGTGCAGATTGTGCAGACAGCCAGGGGCGGGAGAGGCCCTGGGAATAAGAGGCGAGCGTGGGCTGGGTGTGCGGGGAAGGTGTAAACACAATCTGCTCCCACCAAAGCCAGCCTGCTCCCTGGGGGAGACAGCCCCTCCTTCCCAGCCCACATGGCACCCCAGCTGCCAGGCCCACCTCCAAGCCCAGGCATTCACCTCGCCCATTCTGCCAGCAGCCCCTTTCCTCTCTTTCCCACCCTTAATCTGGAATGGATCCTTGGAGGAACCACCATCTACTCCACAGGCTCATAGACAGTACTGCAAAGGGGTACTGCCCTGTGGGAATATGTCTGGGCCTGGAGCCAGCCCTGGTGCTACTCCATGACCTTGGCTTGACAATTCTTCAGACCACTGGAAAGAGACAGGCAATGTGGAAATGGCAGAGCACAGGGAAGAACGAGGTGACAGGAACATGGCAGAAAGATTAGAGAATGAATGCAAAAGATGAGATCAGGGAACACAGACGGGTCCTGGGAACAGCGCCCTCTGGCCCTCAGCCTGGCAGTCCTGTCACCAGAAAGACTCATGCCTCCCAGAAGAAAGACAGGCTGACAGGAGCTGAGACAGGTGGCCCAGAGCTCAAGGCTTGGGTCAGACAGGCACTCTGGCTCTGGCAGCCTCCTTCCCCTGGTGTGACCTTCCTCTGCTCCTGCCTGCCCTACTTTGAGAGGCTCCCATGGAACCTCTTGCGCACACCCCAGCCAGGCTCCCTGCAGCATCAGCAGGCCGCCCCAGCAGGCAGCAGCCTCCTCCTCTAGCACCTCAGAGTGGCTTCCCTTTCAGCAGCAGCATCTCTCACCCTTTCCCTTTGCCTTAGATGTGAAGCCTCCTCCTGAAAGCCAAGGGCAGGGCTCAGCCAGGCATGGCTTCTGGACCAGCAGTCGGGGACTAGCTGGGGAGAAGATGCTTGCATTGGGTTGGGGGGGTGCTTTTGAAGATTAACGACTGTGAGACAGTTGGGAGCAGCTGCCTGCAGGGTCTGCGCCTGGATCTGGGAGCAGAAGCGGAAATCTGCTTTTATCTCTGCTCCGGATCAGGCAGGGCTGTAAAGAGGGAGAAATGGCAGAGCAGCTGGGGGCAAAGGAGGCTGCACCATTACTGAGCAGTCAGCACATTGACGAAAACAAGCATCATGCTTTCTGCCTTCCCACATGCTACTGCCTATTTGGAACACATGCGCGCGCACGCACACACACACACACACAGAAAACACATTCAGAAGACAAGCTGGTAGCTGCCCCCATCCAGCTGCAGGCAGACATGCCATGGAGCCAACCAGCCTTGCTAATTGATCATTTCAGCAGAGCAGCCCATGACAGGGTGAACTCTGGGGACTGGGAAGAGGCAGACGCCATGGGAAGTAAGTGCCACCATGACAGACTGACACCAGCACAGCCCTAGACCACAAGTCCATTAACAGAATAGCTCCTGAGCTGGCAGAGGCAGACAGCCGGACCAAAAGAACCCTGCTTTGGCCAAGCAGCTATGAACTAATAGGTTCTGTGGCCTTGAGGTGATTCTTGAGTCCCCTGTTTTAACATCTAGGCAATGTTAGGCAAATTATTTAACCTGTGTGTTTCCTCATTTATAAAATATGGAAAGAGGGGCTGGGGTTGTGGCCCAGAGGTAGAGCACTGGCCTAGTATGCATGAGGCACTGGTTTCGATCCTCAGCAGCACATAAAGATAAAATAGAGATATTGTGTCCACCTATAACCAAAAATAAATATTTAAAAAATATGGAAAGAAAGAAAACAGTATCCATGGGTTATGGTGAGGATTGAATTAGCAAATGAACGGAAGCCCTTGATGCGTGAATACAAGCTATCAACCGTCCCTTGATTCTAGAGTGGATCTCCACTTGTCCCTTCCTCTTGCCTGGGCTGTTGGACTGCCCTAGAATTAACCTGGTAGACCCCAGCAAGCCTCCCTCTTTTCAGGCTTTTCAGGCTCCACAGTTCTCGGAGGAGGCTCAGGAACTCAGCAGGAAGGGAAGCCAAGAGCAGGGAGCATCTCCATTCTTTCTGCCAGCCTCATCAGGTCTTGCTCAGGAGGCCCACAGCCAGGCCCCATCAGGGGCTCAAGGCAAGAACTTACCTTCTCCATCACTGCTTCTGCCATCTCTCCCTTGCTGCTGCTTCTGACCCCGCAGCATCCTTCATGGCTAGGGGCCCAACCAGGACTTGAGCTGCAACAAAAGCCAAAGCCAATCTGCACTTTCTGCCGTACTTAGAGACAGGACTTGTATTTCAGTGTGGACATCCCAGAGCATGGTCTTCCCCTTAGAAAACATGACCCCCACCTCATCCCCCGGCCTAGAAAATGAGTCAGAACCATGGCCAGTTCTCTTCAACTTTTACCCCATGTCTGGAAGGGAACAGGTTCACGATGGGATTTGAATGAAGGAGCTCAGCCTCCTTCTGGGACCTCAGAGCTGGAAACGGCCTGCTGTGCTCCCACACGGCCCACCCTTGCATATTTCTTCTTCCTTGAACCCAGCCCTGCCCTCTGCCCTCCAGACCTCCGGACTCTGCCCTACCTGCCTGTGCCAGGTGATCCCACTTCCTGGAGCAGAGCCCCAACTGATGAGGGGAGGGATTAATTCAGATGCTCCTTCTCCCTGAACAGAGGAAAGCACTAGAGTCAGAGTATCGAAAGGGATGAACTTCCTATGTTTCTGGTTCCCTTTTCCTCCTACTTCCATGCCCAGCATTAAGGGACAGTAGCATCTGAAAAACAACTTGGGATTTATGATTGTGGAATTAGAAGATGGACTTCACCCCTGTGCCACTCCCAGCCAGCCCTTTGCGGCAGCCATCATCAGCAAGTGGTTCCTCTATGTCAGTCTGATCTTCCCAGGTAACTAGGTCCCAACGAGTTAATAGGCAACTGCTTCCTTCTGCCTGAGTCACACATACACCAGGCTAGCCAGGCCAGATGGTCCTCAGATTTGGCCTTTCCTAGCCTGCCAGGAGGGCCAGGCCCATTTCATGTGGAAGAGACAGACTGCCTGGAAGTCAGGGGCCGGATGGTCCCCAATCAGTTACAAATTAGATAGACAATCTTGAGCAAGTTCTTCAGATTTTGCTCAGTTTCCTCAACCATTAACAAGAGACTTTTAAAACATGTCCTGCCAACCCTCTGACCAGTGTTGGGATTACTGAGACTTCTAAGTGAGGGACTATGTGAAACAAAAACTTCACAACCAGTGTGATTAACCCTAGTTTACAAGAAATAAAGTGATTATATAACTTGTCCAAAGTCTCTTAGGTAGTAAGAAGGGAGCCAGGACTTTAAATCCTGCTGCCCAAAACTTCACACCCTAAACTCAGCAAGAGGCTTAGTCAGCATCTGAGTGCCTCCTTCAAGTGAGACCTGGTGATGCACTCTATGTGTATCAGCCCAGTTAACTGCAGTATTGACCAGGCACCATTATGATCTCAGCTAGCTGTGAGTCAGGAATGGTGTTACAGAAATGGCTATTTCTCATATGTGTCAGGGCCTCCCATGGGCTTTCTGACTCCGAATATGGGAGAATCCTATGACTGAGATGACAGGAGATAACAGGCTCCCTGTCCAGACAGAGACATTGAGGACCACTGGCAGGCCACCTGATATACATGGAGGATCACTGGCAGACACCCTCCTACCAGTGGGCTCTGGCACCCAAGTACTTGATAGGATCTTTTGTGCCCTTTGTTTTACTAGAAGTGAGAAAGTCACTCTTTAGAGAGGTCTCGCATGCTGGGCAGGGGTGGGGTGGGAGTGGGGAGTGGTTCAAAGGCAGATAATCTCTTATACATAGATACATTAAGTTACTAGTTGACCTTTTTTTTTTTTTTTTTAGTGTTTTCTTTATCACAGGAGCCCCTGTCATCAAAAGACACTGGTCATCCAGGGAAGGAAAAGTCTAGAAGTGCCCACAACCTTGCCCCCTAAAGGCCACAAGGATTCAGTCCAGGGAAGAGTTAACTTTCTGGCCACTGGAGACAGTGTCCTGCCCGCAGGGGCTGCCCAACCAATGGCACTCAATGCTGATGATGTCATGCTCCTTCTGCGCCTTCTATTGGGGACTGGACAGCGAATCCTGCTGGAGGTTCAGGCTGTGGAGCTACTGAGGCGGGTGGGCGGGGGCAGAGGGAGACAGAGGGGGAGGGAAGGGCAAGGCTAGGCTGCAAAGCTACACCGGCTTCAGCCTCCTCCCTCTCCCCACTTCCCTGCGCCTTCCTTGAAGGTGCTCCTGGGCACTGCCCCAGTTAGCACTAACACTGGGAGAAGCAAAGCAGCAGTTTGGTCCAGAAGAGGGGGCTGGGGGCTCCCACTGCTACCTGGTGAAATAGGGAACAGGTGACCAAGGTGAAGGCCAGAATTACTAAAGTGTGAGCAAGAACGTGTGCACCCAAACACACTCACTCACAGCCGCAGGCACACACAGCAAAAGCTTCTTTGGGCAGCACCCTCCCTCCTTTACCCTTGACTCCCTTCTGCTTCACCTGCCCGAGGACTGGAGGTCTGTGTCCCTGCTGCTTCCCATAACAGTCCCATCCACTCTGCTGGAGTCTCTGTGGGAGGGAAGAGCAGACAGGAAGAGCTGTGAGCTGTGCCCAGCCCCCTGTTCTGAGTGACTCTCAGATCCCCTGCCCAACCTGCTGGAGGTCACTTTTAGCCCCTGCCCACCTTCAGTTTGGCTGTGGCCCAGGCCAGCAACCACCACCACCACCATCACCCTTCCCCCTCGTCCCAAGGCACACCCCAACCCACAGCCCAATCAGTTTCTCACGGTTGGACCCGGTTGGCAAATCGGCGGCGCCAGAGCATAGCCAAGGTGCTGAGCAGGAGGAGAGTGGTGCACATGGTTCAGCTGCCCCATCCCCCCAGACGGAGGCTGCAGAAGAAGGCCACAGGCAAGGGACCACAGTGGCCCTGGCCAGTTCTCACAAACCGCTGCCCTCTGTCCTGAGGCTCCTGCTGGGGATGGATTAGAAGGATCAAGCTGATTAGTGGAGTCAGCAGCCCCGACCTTGTGAAGACTGATTAACCTCACTGGACCCAAGATCTCCTCTTCAGTGATAGGGCAAGTCCACCTTCTTGGAAATGTGTACAGTGGCACTGAACACCTATCTGGAATGTAGGTTCCATATACCTGGGCCTCACCCTCAGGGGCTGATGGTCTAGACAGATGTGCTGTCCAGTTAAGCAGCTGGCTGCAACACAGTGACTTAGGCACGATGAAATATGGCTACAGAGCACTCTGGGAGTTGCGGATACCAGGAAAGCTTTAGAGAGGAGCCGGAGGATCTGAAGTTGGAGGATCTGAAGTCACAGGTGCTCAGGAAGGACCTCAGAAGTCTCTGCCCAGACTGCTAACAAGAAAGTAGCAGCATCTTCTAGGAGATGAAGTGGAGCACAGAGGAGGCACCAGGAGAAGAGAAGAATATTTAAATGACGCTAGAAAGACCAGGCAAAGCAGAGAGGAAAGGGCTGGCTCAGCCCCACCCTCCAGATAACCTTCTCCGAACTTTTCTGATTATACACCCTCCTCAGAAGAAGGCAGAATTTAAGACACAGATTATAAATTCTATCTTATATAACTACCTTATATAATTTAGATATAAATTTTAAACTTATAAATTACATACTACTGCACAAATACATTCCTACACCTTAAGACATATATAGAATTTGTGAAGGATGAAATGAAAATCAATAAGACTCCTCTTAAAGTCTGTCCTCCTTGGGGAGCTGCTTGGGAAAGTCTCCACACCAGCTTTGGGTACAGTCAAGGGAGTCTGGTGTGTGTCCTTCATGGAGCAAGTCATGGCAGGGCTGGGACATAGTATGAGAGTAAGGTGAGGACCTGACCACCCACCCCACTTCACCTCATCCAAGATGGCAGAAAGATTTTCCTTCCCTTAACTGAGGTGGGGGTAGTGTCAGCCTACTCCTGCCCAGGGGTCCCATCAAACACCTGAACCCTGGATCCCAAGGAGGAGTCAGGCTGGCCCTCAGCCTGCCTAGGTTACTGCTTCCCTTAGTTCTGGACTTTGAAATTGGATTTTTAAAAATTAAGTCAGGAATCAAAAGTTGAAGAGGAGAGCTACCCCCGGCCATGCTTGGACAATGAAACACCAATATTTGAACACAGCAAGGATGACCAGGAAGTCTTAAGGAAAACTGGAGATATTCCACATGTAGTGTGACATTTGTAGACAATTGCAAGCCCTGTGTGGCCTCAGGCTTCCACTGAGAGTCAGAGGTAAGGCATGCTATCCCCAAGACTGAGCAACTGCTGGACAGGGCTTTGGGTCTCAGGAGCACAGTGCCCACCTCTGGCCCAATCTCACACCTCCCTGAGCAGTCCAACAGGGTGAAGGGTTTGTCTCCCCAACCTCCAGAACTGGGACCTTGGTGATCCTGAGATATCTTCAGTGGCCTGGACCTTTCTCAAGACTTTTTTTTTTTGTTAATAGTTGTAGATGGACAGCATGCCTTTATTTGTTTAGTTTTCATGCTGTGCTAAAGATCGAACCCAGTTAGCCAGCCCTCTCAAGACTTTTTGACCCCTAAGTCCCCTCTGCCATACCTGGCTGCTTCTTCCTCAGACTTCACTCCGACGCGGCCAGGGCTAGAATTCAAGGCAGAGCCTGGTTCTTTCCTACCAGTATCATTAATAAGCCAACCACCTACTTCTTTCAGCCACGTGCGCGCGTGCACCAAGGGAGATGGGGTTTCAACCAGAAGAAAGAGGGGCGCAAGCCTTTGGGATCCATGACTGGAGGTGTGCTCAAGTTCCCGAGGCGGCAGATCGGTGGGGCTTCGACCCTGTTCTAAACCTGCCAGAGCCTGGGAGTTCCAGGCTCTGCGAGTGGCGACTCGGGAGCCAACAGCGCAAGCGGGAGCGAGTCTGCCCGCGATAGGGCTCGCGTTCGCCCCCTCGGACCGGCGACAGGCTGCCACGCCGCAAATCCCCGGGAGTGTTTGACTTTGAGACAGTTCCCCGCCACGTGAAAGGTGTCGGTACGTACTCGTCCGGTCATCGCGCGCAGTGGGAGCCGGAGCACAGTGTACCCAGTCCGGCACCCGCCGGGGCGCACTCCTGTGCGGCCCGCGCAGCCCAGCGCCGCGTGATCGCCAGATCCTCCCGAGACCCCTCGGCACGTCGGCCACACCTACTTCTTGCCCCGCCCGGCGGGGACCGGCGGGGACCGCCGTGGCCTTGCGGGTGAGTGGGCGAACGGAGCTAGCCGCGTCGCCCGCACCCCGCCCGCACCCCGCCCAACCTTCACCTTGCCAGAATTGGCTCACCGACACAGGACTGGGCTTCGGAGAAGATTTGTTTTTTTAAACATTTTTCCAGCAGACCACATCCCCGCCCCCCGCTCGCGGTCCCCCGCCCCCCGCACATATACCCTGCACACACACGCGCACACACACACACACACAGCGCACACAGGCACACACGCTCCCTCCCTCCGGCGCTCTACCCCTCCAGATAACCTTCTCCGAACTTTTCTGATTATACACCCTCCTCAGAAAAAGGCAGAATTTAAGACACAGATTATAAATTCTATCTTATATAACTACCTTATATAATTTAGATATAAATTTTAAACTTATAAATTACATACTACTGCACAAATACATTCCTACACCTTAAGACATATATAGAATTTGTGAAGGATGAAATGAAAATCAATAAGACTCCTCTTAAAGTCTGTCCTCCTTGGGGAGCTGCTTGGGAAAGTCTCCACACCAGCT